ATTGCTAGATGTAACCATATGTTCTATGCTAACAGTTTCTTCTCTCATACTTTTGATTTTCCAGTCAACATTGATCTTGAAAAAATTTAAATGCAATGTCAACCATGATCTTCTGTCTCTTTGAATCCCATTCTTTTACTGTTTTTTCTTCTTAATGATTTTTCTCAGATTCTGTCACTCTTGGTAACCTCTTGCATCTTAGTGGCTTTATTGCCTTGCTTTTGAGAGTTTTTTGATACAAACCATAATCTCATTGCAATCCATTTCAACATCAGTAATCCATACTACTTGTATGCCATATTGTTAAACAGAGAACAGTATGGATGGCTTAGTATTGTAGCACGCCATTCTTCCATAAATCCAGATCAGAAATCACAAATTGTAGCAGGGGTGTTCCTAATCACAGTGGGTAAAATTTAACATATCTTGACAAACAAAAATAAATACAAATGTTAATATAGATTTTGCTTTAAAACTGTGTATATGCATTTATGTAAAACGAGATAAGATTTACATTTCTCATTTTATCTACAGTCTAAAAAAAAAAAAAGACTATAAGAACCCAATTCTGTTTGTATTAATTCTTCATCATTGGTAATCTTTCTTCCTAATTTTCAATGCTTTTTATACTAAAATCATTCACAATGCCTAAATATCTAATAATCCTATTCTCTTAGTAATGCTTGCAATAATACTTGATTACTAACAATCATTCTGATTTTCAATACATATATATTGTAAAATCATTAGATATGCACATATTAGACATATAATAGCATTATTAAGTTAGCAATATTTAGATACATTCCTGACCACTGACAATCCATTTTCACTTGGTTTTCAGTGCACAACATTGTACCAAAATGTATGTAAATTTTAATTTTTAATTAGAAAAATTCAATGCTTAATGTTACATATTGTTCTAACAACTTTTTTTGCATTGTGACACAATATATCCCCACACAACTGGCTCAGTGCACATACAAATTCAAGTGGGCTGGATATGATTTTATTATAGTCTTAAGTGTTTTGTGTTTTTTATAACCAGAGTAAATTCTGCAAAATTGGATCTTCAAAGAAGATATTTTGATCAAAAGGGAATAAAATAATAAATAAATGAAAACTTTTGGGGAAAAGTGACATTTGACCTGACATTAGAGAGATCTGTTCACAGACTTATATAAATAGTCATAGTTAGAACTGAGAGTAGATCCAGGCTGACCAATACTAAGTGTAGTCATGTACCATGACTAGAGATGAACAGTGAGCTAATAGGAGACAGTCATTGCTGGTTGAAGAGAAAAAGTTGATCTGTAGTCTATCAGGATAGAAGGAGCAGAAATTTTCAAAGTGTCACTGAATAAACTATGAAATATATTGGAAGCAGGATTCAAGCCTTAATTTCACCTTTCATTTCCTTTAACATACAATGGACCTTTTCCAGTATTAATGTATGATAATGCAAAAAAAAGAATGAACATGCAATGTGGGGTCATTTGCCCAGTCAGTAGAAAGATGAGAGGAGGTTTTACTGCATGTTTACAGTATTTATCCAACAGCATTGGCATATTCATTTGTTATCTTTCTCATTGCATTCCCCGATAATTATCTGATTTTCTCTCTTTTTTTTTGACTTGTCCCTAGCATTTAATCCTTAAATTTCACCCTGACCTCACTGCTAGAAATATTTAACTAGAGCTGAACGTGGCTAAAGCTAAGCATGGAGAATGGTGGTGGAGCTGTAAAGTCAGTGGACAATAAAAAAAGAAAAACAAAAAACTTATCTATATGCATTGGCAACAAATGCAGTAGATACATGTTAGAACTGTGATTATTGTTTCATTTGCCTACAATTGCTGTCTGAATTTTGTGTCTCCAGATATGTAATTATTAAAATTAATGAAAGTTTTGATACATTTAATAAATCCTACCTGTAAATATTATAGACTACTTAACAAATTTGTTATTAAGACAGAAAGTTCTTGTTATAAAAAATAAGCGATTAAATTTCTCAATTTTCTTAATGATAGTGATCCTTCTCTCTTATATTTTTTCAGACAGTTCTTCTGAGTCCATAAAACACCTTCCTTAAAGCAATAAGCCGATGTCAGATTCCAAGAAATGTAATTTTGAGCCAGACTTCAAATGAAAACGTGAAGATTTCAAAATAAATTCTTCATTAATTCTAGAGATTCACAATTGAATTGTATTGTTTAAGCAAAAAATTTTTTGAACATAAGTTTAAATTAAATAAAAAAACATTTTGCTGCAAGTGCTTTTTTTTTTAGACACGTGTTGTTCACTTTGTTTTTTAACCGAAACGTGTCTTCATTGTTAAAGCCAGCTAGAAAATTTAGGCAAATTTTGTTTATTGTACAAAGGGATAGTGCAAAGTTTTCTAGTTCCAACCAAAGAACCCCCCCCCCACCAGCATCATTTTTTTTTTTTTTTAAATAAATTTGATATTTTGTCAAATTTTGGAAGGTGTGTCGGGTTGAGAGATTTTTTTTCAAGAATTTATTATCATTATTTATTATCAGTGGTCTAAATCTTAGGAAGAGTGAAAGAAAATGTTTCCATTCTTTTCTTTTTTTTGCAATTAAGATTAAAAAAAAAAGTCGGTTAAACACGTGTCTCCAAATTCGTAGCCGTTGTGATAATAAAGGAGAGAGAAATAAACAAATGATGGGGATTAATCTCTAGAGAAAAATAAAGTGTTATTCTTAATCTTGTGTAAATACTTAGAAGAATTTTCAATTTTATACTCAAATTTTAATACATTCACTTACAGCTTCTGCTTAGCTTACAATTCCACAATGGAATGATTAACACTAACAGGAAAACAACCGTAAAAAAAAATGATTTTTACTTACCTTTGCTATTTTTTTTTTTTTTTTAATTTATTGTCATCTGAAATGTCTCCCGAGGACCACTTTTTACAAGAATGATTTTTACTAAAATAAAATTACACTATCAACTTGAAACAAACGATGTTTTAAAAAAATATCGAAAAAACCGGTGATAAATAAAACTAGTTCCTTGCAAAGAAGTATTGATGTTTTAAAGTTTGTAGATGTCTTCTTCGATAGAGTCTAAACAACGCTGCTTTTCTCCATTTATTTTTTACACCATGGATTGACAACCAGAAGTGGTTATGACCAAACTATTTCAATACGACATAATTTTTTTTTTAAAATGAGAACAGTTGGATAATGAACATAAACTAGTGTAAAAACTAAAAACGATCCTCCGGATAGACTTGGCACGAGAGACAAAAACTGTTCTCCCCACCACAAAAAAACAAAACACATCTACTTGTCAGTTCACAATAACATGTTTCTTAAAGGACCTTCTATTCAAATGCTCTGTCTGTCTGTACATATCACATATGATATGTGACAGTCAAGCAAAAATGTATTTGCGTGCTCTCCCTACGCAAAAGGTCGATTTTTTTTTAGGTAGGGAGTCAACATATGGGGTGGACAGTCAATAAAGTAAGCTGTGTTAAATGCTAGTGGTTAATTCATTAATTTATATTGAAGCAAAAAAAAAAAAAGAAAAGAAATGGAGGATAAATTCATGTGCGTGGTACTCTATTCTCTATCTTTGTTGTTTAAATCATTCAGAATATTTTAATTTTTGTCATGTTCTCAGACTCTAGTACAAATTTCAAATTTGAATTTTGTTTGAAATCTTATGAGTAGGATTTATTATGGGGAATATAAAGATGATATATGGTAATAATTCAATATCAGACCTACTACCTCAGATGAATAGTGTACAATGAAACTTTGAAGTCAGTAGAGAGACAAGTAAATTGAACTTTTATTAATTTATTGGCTACATGTTTGTGTGTGATATATAATTGTATTTAAGACTAATAGTGAGTGTTGCATTCTGTGTTGTCATTGAACCCCAACACTACTGGTTGCTGTCAATGAAAGGCGGTTTCTTTTTCTTACTTGTTTTATAAGAGAAGGATAACAGCATGGATTCTAGGAGGCAATGGGAGGAAAAACTTGAAGGGAATGCATGCCACTTGTTGGTTTTAGTGTCTCTCAAACTTGGGGGTGGAAAGCATATTGACACGTCAAAATTCCTGTGACCCTCTGTTGATGTTGCACATTTTTGAACTTACATCCAAAACTTAGACAAAGGGCAATCCATCACTGTTAGAATACCATGCCCACAAGATATTCTGACCAATCATTCATCCTAGACCTGTCTTCACATTCTGTAATATTAGTAACTGAATGATAAAATGGATATGTACCTGATACTCTAGGTATTGAGTTACACACCTTTAACAGGCCAGAAATTAAAGATGACCTATCATAATATCAACAAAATGTTTCATTTTTTATTACATTTTTCCAGTTTGCGTAGAAGTTGCCATGCATCTGGGTCAAATTTGCAAAGAAAATGTCCAAAGTTCATAATGTTTTTGTTCAAGTAGTTTCTTATCATTATCAGGAAGGTTAATTATATGTCAAAGAGAAAAAATTTTAGTAACCTCTTCTTGGCATTTTTAGCAAAATTACATTTCTAAGAGTATTGTATACAAATGATATCATGTGTAGAATGCATTTTTTTTTAATTCTTCTGCTATGAATTAAGAGATTCTTGATAAAATACAAAAAAGAATCTGCAATATTATTAGTCTTGACAGTTACAGTCACTTTTCCTCTGCCATAACATAGCTTCTCTGTAACTTCTTTTTTTATGGTAATTGTTCTGATGAGTTTTACTCTTTGGTACCTCAAATTTTTACAAATTCAAGTGCAGTACTAGATTCCCAGCAAGGTCTCATCATTTTAGTTTCTTCTTTTGAACTTTTCACTTGTGGAATTCACTTCCGTCTTTTTGCTTTCCAATAAAGTCTGATCTTCAACAATTTAACATGTATTTGTACATAAATGAATATAACAAACCCAACAGGAATTAAAACTCAGCTCTCCAATTAACAGTTCCAAGCCATTATCACACCCACACATCCAAACTTACAGCACCTGGTATTCCCAAGCAGTTACCCATCTAGGTACTGATAATGCTTGATGTTGCTTAACTTTAGTGATCTTATGGGAACTGGTGTTTCAACATGATGTGGCCATAAACCTTAGTCTACTTTTAAAAGTTATTACTCAAAGATTCTAAAGTTTCTCAAATTCTGCTACTACTACTTTGGATCTTTCTTCAAAAATTTACCAAGTTTTGGCAAAATTGCTGAAATACTAGTTCTTTTATGATGACTGAAGTTAAGCAATGTTGTACTTAGTCATTACCTAAAAGGATGGCCACTTGGGAATATCAGGGGCTGTAAGCTTGGATATGCAGGTGGCTAAGAATGAGAAATCAGAGAGCTGAGTTCAAATTCCAGTTGGGATTGTAACATTAACTTACGCACAAATACCGTTGGAAAAGGTATGAATCCACCTAGTGTCACCGCCATATTATTGGTTAAATAGTAGGATTTGTATCTGAAAATCCAAAGAAATGTTAATACACTATTCACTTCTGGAAAAAAAAAATTCTTACAATCCAGGAATATGTTTTGGCCTTAAATAACTTACAAAGATTTGATAAGCTATGAAAAACAAATTAATCGAGACTATACCTAATCTATGATCAACTCTACAGTATTTTCCAGCTGTATTTACATAAGATAGCATAACACTTACAAAATAAAAATATTTGTTAGAAACAAAGAAAAAGAGTACTGAACTGTTATGTAATCTTCCTACATGGCAGCAAATGCTCGACAATCTCCTCACAGATGAAGAAGAGGCTTGAAACAACAGAAATGTAGTCCTACAGAAGGGTGATGCGAATACCATTGACCAATCATTTGAGCAACAAGTTTAAAAACGAAAAAGGACACATACTTAAAATCAGACAGAGATAGTTGAAATTTCTAGGGCACATAATGAGGAAAGAGGGCTTGGAAAATTTGCTACTCACAAAACAGATTGAAGGCAAGAGGGTGGGAGGAAAATGACACATAACCTACCTAGCGAGCTTGAGTAAATGCATGGCTGAAAAGGGTTTAGGAGAGACAGATAAAAGGCAAAATTTATTAAGAGCTACAAAGGACAGGAAATTGTGGAGAGCCATTATCGCTTACGTCCTGAAGGGACATGGCACATAGAAGAAGAATAAGACTAATGTTGCTACTAATGAAATTTAATGAAGCTGTAGCTTCTTATAAATTAACCTTTTTTATGTTACTGTCTTATGTTTACAGTCTATTCCTAAATTTATTCAAAAAGTCTAAGCCCAGTAAAGGGTTAGTGATTGAGAAAATCCGTTGAAAAGTCTTTTTCAAACAAAGAATTTCATACTCCAGATTCTGTTGTCCTCGTCATTTTATTTTCTCACCACTGGCAGATGAGATTGATATAGAAGTTGAATCCAAACTAGTTGTTCTTAATTTTCAAAGAAGACTGAAAATTTAATAACAGCATGAGCTAATCTATCAGTATTCCTTATTGTCTCAGGGTTAAGTCTTTTTGTGGAGAGATAACATGTGCTACAGGTGAAGGTAATCCTTACAGAATTTTATCTACTCATTAATAGCAATATGATCTGCATTTCTTGACAAATAAACTAATAAGCATTCCATGATTGTAGTTGTCTTTATAAGTCTGTCTAGTATTTCAGGCTTTAACTTTTAATAACCTGACAAATTATCTTGTTTTAATTCATCAGATCATAGCACAGCTGAAGGAATATTTGCAACAACTTCAACAAGTATGGTTACAATAATGGAGACAAATTTTGTGACTAAAGTACCAATATCTTTGTGGAGAAATTGTGCCTGAAATATAGGAAATCAGCCGTTCATTTTTATCACAATAAATTCTGGTCCTTTAATTGTTCCATTGCAGAATCAACTGAAGTACATGCACCCACCCATTTTTAGATAATTATAAGAACTTTATTAAAAATTCAGCAGGCCTTTATTCAACTGAAGCGGTTATACAAACACTACAGAGGTGCATTTGAGTATTCTTTTGGCACAAATTTATTTTCCCCTTGTTCATCCTCTTTTAAATTTAGGTACATTTTCGACTAGTCACTGTTTTGACCAGTTTCTGTTTAGCCTTTAGAAATTACTGCAACTGGCATGCACAATAAACCACAGGATCAAGATACATGGTTCCTGCTTTCTTACCCTCCTATTCTACCTGCAAATGATAGCATCACCATTTCACTGTACAGCATCCCAATATGCGTTAGTCTCATACAGGTACATAGTCATACAGCCAGATAAATACCTTTTTACTTCCAATAAACCTACTGATAAACAGGACTTTATCTTCAGAGTTTTGATTGCTTTAAGGCATTTATCTGGCTGTGTAAATGTATGCACATGTGAGACGGGCAATCAGGAGGCAGTACAATGTGACTTTTCAAAAAGTTTACTGTAACAAACTGCCTTTTTCATTTATAGTTTTTATAAGGGGGGCGGTCACCATTTTGTAGCAGTAATACAGAACCTCATTTTGTATAGAGGAGCTAGCATAAAGGGTGTGATGGGTAAATTGTCGCCATTTTATATTTTCAATTTCACACATGTGCATTGTTTTCCATTTTGTTGACTCCACAATATGGTAGATTCAGTTGGACACCATCTGTGAGAAAAAGAGCATCATGATGCAATTCACTCTGCCAGAAATTTGGAAACAGCATGCTGTACTGCTTGGTATTCATGCTAGAAGCTTCAATATGAACATTTCAGAGTGTTTTGGGTGTCAATTTGAGGACAATGCAGAGGATTTGAAAAGAGTTGGAGGAGTCTAATGGTGATTACGATTGGTGTTTGGAGTGATCATTAGTGATGGCAACATTATGCCTCCATACATCTGCCCACAAGGCCTCAGATTCAACACAGGCCTACATCAAGTGTTTTGAGGAGGTAGTACTGCCCTGGGTCAAGAGGGTGGCTGCTGGAAGACCCTGTGTCTGGCAACAGGAATCTGCACCATGCCACACAAGCAGAAGAACCCAGTCATGGCTGTCAGACAATTTTTGTGACCACATCACCCCTTATATCTAACTCTCCAGACTGCAACCCCCTTGATTATTATGCATAGGATGCAGTTGAGCAAGAGAGAAACAAAACTCCTTGTAATACCAAAGATGAACTGAAGGCAAGGATTATGGCAGCATTCACCAACTTAAACAACAAGGAAACCATCCTGAAGAGTTGCAGGAGATTCCAAAGTTATCTAGAGGCTGAGGTTGAAGCCAATGGCAATTTTATTGAATAATTTTAATCTTTAGTATTTCAAGATATTTTTGTGTAATTTTGGTACATATATCTGTTAAAACGAGATGTCATTGTTATTTTCATTTTTAAGTAATTTAGATAACAATTTATCCATTGCACACTGTATTTGAATTGACTTGTTGCAAAATATTGAATTCATCTGTTTTCAGGAAGTATAAATTGAAAGGCTTTTGAATTTACTGAAACCAAGTGTGGTGTCATGTAAAAGTCATTTGAGGAGCTGAATGGTGTCCTGTTGAGTTGTGATGAGAGTAAGTTCTACTTTCAGGCAAGTGACAGTCATTTGTTTGTGTGTGCAACATAAACCTGAGTAGTGATCTCTTTTACACTGTTTTCACCCACAACATACAGGCCCAAACACTAGCCTGATAGTGTAGGGTGCACTTGTGTTTTTGGAGGGAATGTTGAAAATTGTATGTCAAGAACATTGCTCAACCCATTCCACTGCCATTTCTGCGAAAGGAAAGGCATATAGTGTTGCAACTGGGTAAATCTAGTGTACATGATGGCGGTGCTATTCAACATGCCCTGAAAAAGATATTTGGCAATTTTTCTGGCCAATATGATCACCAGACCTTGAATATGTATTGAACATCATAGGACAATACCTTACTTGTTCAGTTAGCCCACCTCCAGCTCTTGCTGGTACTTGTCAACAAGTACAAGATTTGTGCAATAACATAAGGCAGGGTAGTATTTGCCATTATAATTATATACATGTAACAGTGTCTGTATTAACACCCATGTAAGACGTGACAGACCCAGAGTTTTATCTAGTTATGATCACTAGTTGAACTCTCAAAGAGGTCCCATTCTTTAAATGCCTATTGAGACTCAAGTTCCTTTCAGACATGAAGTGGAATTCATACATACTGGGAAAATGGTTGTCTCATTCTACCACTCTAGAAATTACCTGCCTTCTTTTGATACGCAATATCTTACAAGAGTCAGGTTAGACCAAAAATGGCATCTTCAGCTGCAGCTGCTCAGTCCTCATTCTGTGGCCTTGACAGAGGGTAAAAGTGTCTACACAATCTTGTAAGGGATTACTTATTTTTCACTCTGCAGGCTCTGTCCCACAGACACACTATCTCAAACCTATCACCATTTCCAAGGCAAATTTTCACATTTCTATTCTTTAGTTCCACCAGATCAGTCCTTAATAGGTGGAATTTGCTATGCTATATCCATGGAGTCAAATGATCCACATTTCCTCTATATTCCATTTGTAAGGAGAAAGGTCTACTTTCTACTACCAAGAACTGCTACTTTGTGGAACAGATTCATATGTAGACACTTCTATAAAAACTACAATCTTCAAGTCAAAGGACAATCATTATCTATCCTCCTATTTTCATAATATTTACTTCAATTTTCTATATGGCACACCTCATTCAGTAACCTTCAACCTTGAATGGCTTTTGAACCTTGTATTGAGTGAACCTTTGTAAAAAAAAAATGATATGGAAAGTGTTAATATGAGGTTGGCGTACCATTATTTTGAATCCTGTGTATATATTGATCTGGATATGATCCGTTATTTTAATCCAGCCATATTGACTGTATGTTTAATCTTGAGGAAATTGAAACACATATTCAATTCAGTTTTGCATCTTTATTTACTGTCAGTGCATTATGCTGTAAAGGAGAATGTGAAATTATGCAATATCTTAAATATTAATATCACTAAGAGGTAGTTACAGCATTATTTGGTTGAATCCTTAAATGAATTATAAAATTATTTAAAACATTATTCTTTTTCACATCCAAACATCATTATTTCAAAACATTTTCATTTAGACATTCAAAAATTGAATTATAA